AACTTCACAGCAACCAACAAGACCATGAAAAGCTTCTATCTTCCTATCTGGGTTTGAGTGCCGCCATCACTGGCGTCGCCATCCTCTATAGATCTGTGTGTGTATTGATCTGTGTATATATATTTCTCTCTGTGTTTCATGTGTATATATATATATATCTGTATCTCTCTCTGATTAGTTTTGATTTGTGGGTTTGATTTTTGGTTTTGATTTGAATCTCTCTAGGTTTGATTTTTGGTTTTGATTTTTGGGTTTGAATCTCTCTGTTCTATCTCTTTCCTCTTCTCTCCTCGCTTCTTCTTTCTTCTTATTTCTTCTTCTTTTGCGAGTTATGGAAAGGAAGAAGAAACTAAATAAATAAAAGCCAAAACAACATCATTTTGGAATTTCGAGCCACTCAAGCCTCTAATTTTTCGAGCTACCAAGCGGGATTGTAGTTTAATTTAAGTAAATTACAAAATACACATTATAGTTTGAGTCTAATCTTTTCACTTTTTTGTGTGAATAATTTAGCCCATTGATTTTGGATTTGTGTCACTAAAATTTACTTGTCAAACATTATAAAAATATCTAACTAATTGAATTAGTTTAGAGCTTGTTTGGCATATGAGTTTTTTGAACTTTTTAGTTAAAATAGCCACAAAAAGATAAAATAGACTAAAAAGTCAAAACAAAATGTCACATTTAAACCATAATCATTTTATTTTTTCTATCATAAAAATCAAAATCAAAATCAAAATACCTATACTAAACGAGACTTTTTAGCCCCAAGCTAAAATAGTATGTTAGAAATTGGAAGCCTATGTGGCATGACCCTTTGAACCTTTTGGACCTTATCCATGTAAGTTTGAATTTGAATTCAAAACTTATTTGGATAACTACTCAGGATATCTATATTTATCATATCAACTGATATGGATAGATGATATATTTATCTTATATATCTGATATGATATATGGGATATGGATATCAGCAAACAACGTATGTTTTTGTTTTTCTCATACTGACTCTCTCCCATTAAACAACAATCAAGCCATTTTGCACTGTGACTTGTGTGAGTGATACTCATTTTGTAGTATCACTCTACTGCTGGGTTGGTTGTTCACATTCTGGAAGCACGTGATTTATCCACTACATTCTTCGCTTCAGGCTCTGCTAGAAGGTATGATTCTAAAAATTTTCATACGCTGCGTTATACTTTAATTTACATTGATATCAGAGCGTATATGGGTATTTTCGTGCTTATTTTAAATCATGTGTATAATTTTATATAAATATATACACATTATATGCATGAAAATTAATGTAGGAGGAAGATGAAGTGCAGGGTTTCTGCATTTCCATTCTCATTAGATTGAGAGTGTAAAATACCTCATTTTTATGTTCATTAAATGTCATTTTTAAGACCATAAATGTTTTTTTTTTTTTGGAAAACGGAGTACAGCAGTACCGAAATTGGACCAGAAAACACCCTAAAAGGCGGCGCGTGGGCCGTACGTGCCACCTGATGCCGCTAGCGGCTTCCACACGCATCCACGCGCTTCCACATGCCAAGCGTGCTTCCCACACGCCTACATGCACCATCACACGCGCGTCAGCCGCGCTATCCACGCGCAAGCCGTCCGGGCTAGCACGCGCACGCCGTGCACTGAGCCGCTTGGTGAGCCGCTCGCTGAGCTGCACCGTTTTTTCCTCCGCCGGCTTGGCTGCTGATTATAAGGCACTGTTTGTTTTTTTTTTTTAGTCTAAAATTGGTTTAAATGGTCATAAATAATTCGTTATAGATTTGTTTTATGCGTGGTTGGTACTGTTAGACTCAGAATTGATTTTTCTATCTTCTGTAAAATTTTAAAAATTTTATGAAAATAAAAAATATTTTTTCTGTGATAATAATTCATTATTTATGCTTTAAAATGCTTCTGATGTTGCATGAATAATTTTCTGGGGTTGAAATTTTTATTGTAGACTACTGAAAAGTTTTACTATTTACTGGTATAATTGTTTCAGTTTATCAGATTCTGGAATTTTTAATTCTAATTTTATATGTGTTTATTAGTTATTTAAAATTTTAGAAAATTTCAAAAAAAAATTCTAGAAAATTTTAGTATGATGTACATTCTATTATGGCATAATATGAATATTAAATACAGCATATTTTTTTGGGTTCGTAATACGTTGCAATTAGAGAATTATGATTAGTTTTTTATTTATTTATTTGAATTCTATTATTAAATGAATATAGCATGAGTTATTTGTAAATTTACATTAAGATGTTATTATATGAAATTTATCATGCTTTGTATATGCCATAAGTAGTGGGAGATTGATTGTGCGCATGGAATTAAATTAAATTTTGATAATTATCACTAGAGACGCAAGAGATGATTACGAGCATAGCAAATTTTCGATCTTGAGACATGTGTAAAATTATCATTATTTAATTTAAATTCTTTTGCTGCAAAATAATTTTTTGTGTTGCTATCATTAATATCCCCTGCACATTTGTTTGCTCCGTATGTAGAAATGGCTACTAAGACAGTGGTGGCAGACTTAACTAAGAGCATCTCCAATGGTTGTTGCTATATTGGGGTTGCTATTGCTATAATTTGGCAATGAATAGTGTTATTTTGCCAAATTATAGCAATGGTGCTCCAATAGTCATTTGCTATTTTTGACAAATCTCAACCAACTTTCCCTCCAAGTTTGTAGGTGGCTATACATTGCAAAAATAAAATTATATTCTGTTGTAGAAAATACTGGGAAAAAAAATGAAATTTCATTACAAAATAAAAAAATGACATTGCAAATAAAGACTAACAATTACATCAAAAATTAAATAACATTGCTAAATTTAAAAATACATTATCTTGTAATTATTCATCAGGAGGCAGGGGAAATAGTAATTTGGACTGCTAACATTTGAGGACCACTTGGCAAAAATCTTATTTTTTCGCATTGTGTAATACACTTTCATCTGAGGGTTCAAATGAGAAATGTCTGTAGTCATTATCATATGTTCTTCTTTTTTCATCTCATGTTCTTGTTTTCTGATCTCAAAGTCATGTTTTTTCATCTCAAGTTCTTTCAGCTCCTACAATGCTTGAATTCTTTTTTCTTCTCTTTCATCTTTTTTCTTTTCCTTCTCAGTAAGGTATTGGTTAAATATGTCCAATTGTATACTCATTTTTTGGATTTCAACTTGAACAACTTGATTTCTCCGAAATAATTCTTTTGCAACTTTTCTATCCATAGGCTTTTTACCTTTTGCAGAGACACTACCCTCACCAATAGTTGGATTTTTACCAACACTTGGACTGGTGTCATCTTCAAGAGAAATGCAGTTATCCATAGGTGAATCGGGGGCTGAATTAGAGGAAAATAGAGTATGTATCCTTGACTTCATTGTGTTTGTAGGAGTTACATCTTGCCACTTGATATTGTTTTGCAACACTTACCAACAATATTCAAAAGCAAAATATTTTTTTTTATCTTGATGGTATGAAAGTTTTACTTGAAGTATCTATATGGATAAAATATTAAATAAATTAATTGGTTAATTTTTATACAACACGAAATAAAAAAACTAACATAATAAATGAAGATGAAATCTTACTATATCAACTTAAGATATCCCACTTGGGTATAGATTTTTGACTTGCGCTAAACATTCTTGAAATTTGTTGGAACATTTCATGATTGTACCATATCAAGATTGGATAGACACTTATGTTCTTGACTGGTCATTCTGAAATAAGCAATAATTTTCATAAATTTTCCTCTAAAAGTGAGTATAAGATTGTGAATTGCCAACAATTGGGTCTTCAGAAATGTGACACCAAGCTTTACAAAGTGCCATATCTTCAGCAATGGTGAATGATTTTCCTCTCTTTATTTTTGATGAACCTTCCATACCGATTGTGTAAAGAAAATATAAATAAAAATAAAAATGTAATTTAGAAAATTTGTTGTGAAATGAAATTGAGTAAAAAGAGAGCACAAAATGTTTGTATTTATAGAAAAAAAAAAGGAGCCGTTTTAACATAAAAAAAGAGCCGTTTTATTTTTATAGCCGTTTTTATAGCCGATTTGTGTTCATCTTTTTTTTATAGCCGTTGTAGATATATGTTTCAATTATGTTTTTATTTAATTTTTATTTTTTTTAATGAATAAAGTGACCCACTCATGAATAAAGTAAACCCAAGTTCATTCACTCATGAATAAAGTAAACCCACGTTCATTCAACTTTAGGAAATTTCCAGATCCACTCTTGAGAGACACAGAGAGCTTCGAAACTTGAGAGAGAGAGAGAGAGAGCTTCGGATGAGTGAAGATCAGAGGCAAGAGGGAAGGTCAGAGGGAAGATCAGAGCTTCGGATGGGTGAAGATCGGAGGGAGAGACCTTCAGATGAACTTCGGATCAGCTTTAGATCAATGAAGATGAACTTCCAACCCTTTTCAACCCTTGGATCAGTGAAGATTTTTTTCGGATCAGTGAACTTCAACCCTTGGATCAGGTATTTTTCTTGGATTATTTGAGATTACCTCTCATTAATCTTGCTCCTTCAACCCTCCTTCTACGCTGCTCATGGATTATTTTCAATCCTTGGACCTATGGCCTTGAACTTCAATCCTGCAAATTATTTTCAATCCTTATATTATCTTGAACTTCAATCCTGCAAATTTGCAGCAAAAAATTTTTTTTGATGAATTTGATGAAATTCGTAGCAAAAAAAAATTGATGAATTCATATCAAACAAATTCATGAATTCGTATAAAAAATTGATGAATTCGTAGCAAAAAAAACATTCCTAGATAGCAAAAAAAATTCGTATACAAATTCGTATATATTTTAATAAATGAAGATGAATTTGATGAAATCTTTTTAAATCTGTTTTTGGTATGAATTTGATGAATTTGATGAATTCTGGAATATTGATGAATTCTTGTTCATTCTTGTTGAATATTGATGAATTTGATGAATATTAATGAATAAAATTAGTGAATATTGATGAATTTGTTCATTCTTGTTCATTCATGAATATTGATGAATCTGGAAAATCCCAACCGAAAGGGAAGGAGGGAAGGAAGGAAGAGAGAAAACAGTTAATTTTGGGTGACTTGGCAGATTTGGCAGCTGCCAAAGTAGTTGCCAAGTTTGGCACTTGATTTGGCAGTTGCCAAATTTGGCAGCTGGTATAGCATGCCATTGGAGAAGCCAATATTGCCCAAGCTGCTATATTATGGCTTTGGCAGCTAATATAGCCATCCATTGGAGATGCTCTAAGGGATAGAAATTGGATGGAGACAATTATGATATATGGCACCGTAAGATCCAATACCTCCTCAATGAGCAAGAAGTATTGACCACACTTGAACAAGTGATGGTTGAGCCAGAGCAGGGTAATACAGCTCAACATCATCGTGATCTTGAAGTCTTTCAGACTTGACGTAACAAAGATCGGTGTGCGCGCTTTTCTATGTTGAGCAACATGCACAACGACTTGATTAGTAAGTTTGAGCATTGCCCGACTGCATTTGAGATGTGGGAAGCTCTCAAGCAAAAGTTTGGTATTACCTCTTTGGCAAAGCTACGTGGGCTGACTATGAAGTTTGACTCCTATCAGAAAAGGGCGCATCACTTGATAAAGTAGCATTTAAGGGTCATGTCAGCCATGACACGTGAGCTTGCGGCTGTGGGCACAATTTGACTCAAGAACAGCAAGTACTAGCTGTGATTCGCTCTCTGCCAAATTCCTGGGAGCAGATGAAGCAAAACATGATGCATAATGAGAGTGTGAAAACATTCGAAGACATATCGCGTCATTTGGAGCTAAAGGCTGAGCGTCTTGAGGCTGCTAAGTTTGATGGTTCTGCTATGGTGGTTGAGTCGAGCTCACGTATGACTTCTCAGTTCAAACGTGGAAAAGCAAAAGTGCCCCTAAGAAGCAAACAGCAGCTGTGCTAAAGCCCAATGGCACTAGAAATTTCAAGCGTAGGGGCAAGAGAGGTGACAAGAAGGTAAAGGCTAAATTGACATGCTTTAACCGTAACAGAGAAGGACACTTCACTCGGGATTGTCCTGAGCAGAAGAAGGTACTCCTTTACTTAATTTCTCGCATTCAATGCTTTGTTTCTAGTCAAGCATTAATTGCTCATTCTCCTCATTTTTGGGTTATAGACTCCGGAGCAACAGACCACAACGCGAGGGACAAAGTAGGGTTCGTTGAGTATTGCCGAGTACCTGCTGGGAGCAGAAAAGTTTACATGGGGAACGAGTCCAGTGTGGAGGTGCTTGGCATTGGCACATACAAGCTGGAAATGTGACAAGGGCACACCTTGTATCTTTATGATGTTCTTTATGCTCCCGATATTCGGTGAAACTTAGTTTCAGTTATTAGCAAGATGAGCCTTGGTTTTAGCTTTTGTTTTAAGAATAATGGTGTTAGCATTTATTTGGGAACAATTTTTTATGATTTTGGTTATCTTTCAGATGGTTTTTTATTTTTGGATGTGAATTATTCTAGTTATAATAAAAATGCCAATGACTCTATTTCTAATATTTCATCTTTTTGTGATAATGATTCTATGAGATAGCATGCTAGATTAGGCCACATAGGGTAAGACAGGATGACTAGATTGGCTAGAGAAGGTCTTTTAGGCCCACTCGCTAGAGTCACTTTGCCTACTTGTGAGCACTGTCTTGCTGGTAAAGCAACAAGAAAACCATTTGGAAAAGCCATAGGGGCATCTATCCCATTACAACTTATTCATTCTGATATATGTGGACCAATGAATGTGAGGGCAAGGCATGGAGCCCCTTATTTCATCACATTTATAGATGATTGCATGCGTTTTGGCCATGTCTATTTGATTTCTCACAAGTCAGAAGCATTGGATTGCTTTAGACGGTATGTTAATGAGGTTAAGAATCAATTAGACAAGAGCATTAAGGCTCTAAGGACTGACCGAGGACGTGAGTATCTGTTTGAGCAATTTAAAGTGTTCTGTGAGGAAAAAAGAGTTATCAGGCAATTGACAATTCCTAGGACTCCGCAGCAAAATGGTGTAGCAGAGAGAAGGAATCGCACATTGCTTGACATGGCTAGATCAATGATGGCGCAAGCTAATCTTCCCGTTTCTTATTGGAGAGATGCTTTGTTGACTGCTGCCCATGTCCTTAACCGTGTGCCCTCCAAATCAGTTCTTTCCACCCCATATGAGATGTGGACTGGCAAAAAGCCTGATTTGGGCAATTTGCGGCTTTGGGGTTCGGCAGCTTACATACACAATGCTTCTCATAAGTTTGGGAAGTTGGGCCCTAGAGGAAAGAAGTGTATCTTCATTCGCTATAGTGAGCATTCTAAGAGCTATGTGTTTGTTGGGGAGCATCCGGATGAAAGTGTGACTGAAATTGAGTCACGAGATGTGGATTTCCTAGAGGAGGATTTCCCTAGCAAAGGTGAGGTAACTAGAGAAGTAGAACTCTATGAGATGGAGGATCTACTTGAAGGCGCACCTAATAAAGAATGAGGAGATAATCCTTCAAGCTCATAAGGACAGTGGGAGCGATCTACCTGCCCATGGATTAGATCCAATGGATGAGGATTCTTAGGATTCTCAACTACGTAGAAGCAAACATGGTGCTATACCCCGTCGTCGTTTTAAGATTGAAGGGGAAGCATTCATGATTGCTCTGAGTGATGAGATAGAGCCTAAGAATCTCAAAGAGGCTCTCTCATCCCCTGCTAGTAAAGAATGGAGTACTGCAATGGATGAAGAAATAGAGTCTATGAAAAAAAATCATGTCTGGGACTTGGTTGATTTACCGCTAGGGCGCAAGACTATTGAGAACAAATGGGTTCTCAAAATCAAGCGCAAAGCAGATGGTTCCATAGAAAGATATAAGGCTCGCCTAGTGGCGAAAGGTTACACCTAACGAGAGGGTGTGGACTATGAGGAAACTTTTTCACCAGTTGTAAGGTTTGCCTCTATTCGCCTAATTCTGGCCATAGTAGCTCAGTTGGACTTAGAGCTATATCAGATGGATGTTAAGGCTGCATTTCTCAATGGAGAATTGGATGAAGAGATCTATATGGATTAACCAGAAGGCTTTGTGGTAGTAGGTCAGGAGCGCAAAGTTTGCAAGCTTCAACGATCTATTTATGGCTTAAAGCATCATCCAGACAATGGAATTTGAGATTTTATCGAGCCATTGTTTCTAATGGGTTTACGATGATCGATGAAGATCACTGTGTGTACGTTAAGCGGTCCAAGGATATTTTTTTGATATTGTCATTATATGTAGATGACATATTATTGGCTGGAAATGACAAGGAGATGATTGTTGCCACTAAAAGGTGATTGTTCTCTACATTTGAGATGAAAGACATGGGTGAAGCGAGCTATGTGCTCAGTGTTAAGATCCTTAGGGATCGCTCTAGGAGACTTCTTGGTTTGTCTCAAGAGACTTACATTAAGACTATCCTAGAGCGATTCCAAATGCAAAGCTGCAAACCCATTGACACTCCTGTTGCGAAAAGCGAAAGCCTAAGCCTTGATATGGGTCCTAAGACTCAAGAAGAGAATGAAAAGATGGCCCGTGTTCCCTATGCAAATGTTGTTGGAAGCTTGATGTATGCTATGATGTGTACACGCCCTGATATTTGTTATGCAGTCGGATTGATGAGTCATTACTAATCCAACCCAAGACCAGCTCATTGGAAAGTAGTTACGAGGATATTACGATATCTTAGAGGGACTGCAGATTACACACTTTGCTACCAAAGTTCAGATCTACATCTAGTTGGCTATTGTGATGCTGACTGGAGAGGAGACTTAGATGAGCGTAAGTCTACTTCAGGATATGCTTTCATGCTTAGCGATGGTGCTATTTGTTGGAGCAGTAAGAAGCAATTCTGTATCGCCTTATCGACTATGGAGGCTGAGTTTGTGGTTTGTTCATCTGCCGCTCAGGAAGCCGTTTGGTTGCGGAGATTCCTTCAGCATTTAGATGTTGTCACACACACTTCAGACCCTGTGACTATCCATTGTGACAGCATGGCTGCACTCGCTTACGCTTAGGATCCTAAATACCACGGCAGAACCAAACACATTGATATGAGGTTCAACTTTATCAGAGACATTGTGGCACAGAAAGAAGTGATCCTGGAGCATATCCCTACGAGTCACATGGTTGCGGACCCTTTGACTAAGCCCATTGCTAGAGATGTTTATCTTACTCATGTTAGGGCTTTAAGACTACGTAAGTGGTGATATATTTATGTGTATTCAGTTCAACTCATATTTTTTGGGATATTTATGTCATTAGTATTCATATTTGTTTCTATTACACATTTATGTTTACTACTTTTTGCAATGGTTTGTGAATTAGCATACACAAAATAATTAAATTGATGTTAGCAGGCAAGATTGGCTCACTCACACAAGCAATCGCCCTTAGCGCTAGGTAGCGAGTAAGGATGAGACTAGTGGCTTATTGTATTTGGAGCAAATAGAGAAGCTAAAATTATCCACTAGCTATGTCGCCTTGGTTGGAGCCAAGATGAGGTCTTGTTAGAGATCGACTATAGATATGAGAGTACCCACTTTTCCATGATGTGCCTGTTATGGATAGCTAAATGCGAGATCTCATTTGATGCCTGAGAGGCGAGCAAATAGAAAATTCGAGTTAGACGTTAGGAAGTGACTTGTGCGCTTAAGAGCAACTAGACTAAGATCTGTATGGTGTGTGAGTTTAACATCACTCTTTGGAAGAGTTACTCCACTATAACATGCATTCGTACTGCATGTGCTTATCGACCCGTTAGCGAGGTGAAAGAATGGATCCCTGCTTCTTCACCGTGTGAGTTCTAAAAGTCATTTTTCCCTAAATGAGTTCACTTTGTGCCTTTTGTGACCTTTGACTATGTCATAAGATAAAGAGTTGATGTTCAGCTACTTTGGTATGTTGCCTACGGTCATGTATGATTCGGCTTTAAGGGACATTACTGGGAAAGCGGTCAATTTCAAATTGAATGATATGAGGGTGAAGGGAAAATCATCTAGTGCGACATCTCTGCTCTATATTCACTATCGACAAGTCACATCGCTCTTTATGGGATGCTGATTGGGTGTGAATATAATGCGGGACCTAGGAGAGTCAAACATGCTCTTTAAGGGATTAGAGATGTTTTTGGACCGATGTAGCTAGATGGGTCTAGGTACATGAGACACTATTTCTTTGCATTTTGGGTTGATATCTCTATGTTGACTCATATTGAGTTTCTAGTATAGAGCTCCCACATGCAGGTATTCTCAGCGGTCGCACAGTGCATTGGCTAGTATGAGATTATTCTTTTTTTGGGGAGATTGAGATGGAGATGTGGCAGTGTCATGCCAACTCATGTGCGAGTGGGAGATGTTAGAAATTGGGCGCCCATGTGGCATGACCCTTTGAATCTTTTGGACCTTACCCATGTAAGTTTGAATTTGAATTCAAAACTTATTTGGATAACCACTCAGGATATCTATATCTATCATATCAACTGATATGGATAGTTGATATATTTATCCTATATATCTGATATGATATATGGGATATGGATATCAGGAAACAACATATGTTTTTGTTTTTCCCATACTGACTCTCTCCCATTAAACAACTATCAAGCCATTTTGCTCTGTGACTTGTGTGGGTGATACTCATTTTGTAGTATCACTCTACTACTGGGTTGGTTGTTCACATTCTGGAAGCACGTGATTTAGCCACAACATTCATCGCTTCAGGCTCTGCTAGAAGGTATGATTCTCAAATTTTTCATCCGCTACGTTATACTTTAATTTACATGTCAAAAAACCAAAAAGTTAAAAAGCCAACCCATATCTCAAATGAAGTCTTAGTTAGTTGTTACTTACACTTATACACTTCTATTTAGAAGGTCATGAGTCAAGCGCCATATATTTTGTATATTGATTAAAAGAGGTCAATGTAATTTATTTTTTTTAAATATTACGTTTGAATTTTTTTATTTTAAAAGAAAAAGATGATCAGATTTGTAAAATATAAAATAAATTTTTTTTCATTCATTTCCTCCATAAATTTATCTCTAAATTTAAATTCAAACATAATTAAAAGTTAGCAATTAAAGTGTCATTTTAATAACGTTGTTAGTTACTTATTTTCAGTTTTTTTTTTAAAAAAAGAAAAACAAGTTTTTGTGTTTTTTTTTTTTTTTTTTTGTTTAAAAAAAACTTTGCTTAGTATACACAAATGTATATAAAAAATAGAAATTAAAAAAAAAAAAACATGTTTAATGAATTTATAGAATACAAATGGTGGCTAATAGTTGAGAGATTGATTTTATAATGGACATTGGAGAGTGGCCAAAGTATCATTGGAGGTCATAGAGTTGGAGTCCGGATCGTCTGTCGTGGAGGTCATAGGTGGCTCCTGCGGCGGCTCCTGCGACGGTCCAAAACGACGTCGTTTTTTACCTTCTTTTTTTTTCTGCTGTTAAGCCTCTCTTTCACTTCCTCTTCCTCTGATCTGCTCCAATGGTCTCAGATTTGTTCCGATCTGCATCGCCTTGAAGAAATTGGCAAAGATCATTTGTCGAAAAAAAAAAAAAAAGTGGGTTTGATTGATGAAGTGTTTTTTTTTTTTGAAACATACACTTGATTTGAAAACCTTGATTTGAAAAAAAATAAGTGGGTTTGATTCATGAAGTGTTTTTTTTTAAAACATACACTTGATTTGAAAAAAAAAAATCAACTTTTTTTCTTAGCAAAGATCATCTGTGTTTTTTTTTTGGAACATACAAATCATTCATGAATTTTTTTTTTTTTTGGATATATACATATATTTGAAAACTTCAACATCAGATTCACGAAGTTTAGATTCATATACAATTTCAAACTCATATCAATATTTGAAAACAATTTCATATATATATATATGTGTGTGTGTGTATATGTATACATATATATGTGTGTGTGTGTGTGTGTGTGAGAGAGAGAGAGAGAGAGAGAAGAGAGAGAGAGAGATATGGATAACAGAGGAAGAGCTAGTTGTAGATAATTTTGCAATTTTTGTTAATGGTGCTGAGTTGAATCCATTCTATGGCCATCCATTTTCATCTCTATGTGTTTGGGTGAGAGATGAAAGAGAAGAAAAAGAGGACGTCGTTTTGGACCAATTTCTTTTTTTCCCCCTTCTTCTTCTTCTTTTGTTGTTAAGCCTCTCTTTCACTTCATCTTCCTCTGATCTACTCCAATGGTCTCAGATCTGTTCCGATCCGTATCGCCTTGAAGAGATTGGCAAAGATCCTTTGCCGAAAAAAAAAAATCAAGTGTGTTTGATTCATGAAGTGTGATCTGTGTTTTTTTTTTTTTTTGGAACATACAAATCATTCATGAATTTTTTTTTATATATATATACATATATCTGAAAACAAAGTGGGTTTCAAAACTTCAAGATTAGATTCATGAAGTTTAGATTCATATACAATTTCAAACTCGTATCAATATTTGAA